AACTATTAATGTTTATTTATAAGGACACAAAAAGTTGAAAATAAAAACATGGAAAATATGTACATAAACACTAATCAAAAGAAAGCTGATAACAGGGAAAGGCGAAGGTACTAATAGAGATAAAATAAGACATTCTCTGTCGAAAAATCAGTCCCCTGCCAAAATGATATAAAAGTTCTAGATTTATGTGAACCTAATGATTTAGCCTCAAAACTATACAAAAGAATAATTGAAAGAACTGAAATATGAATTAGACAAATCTATGACTGTGAGAAAGATTTTAACTTTCCTTATCAGTGACTAATAAAAAAGCAGATGAAAATCAATATTAATATAAAAGAATTAAATAATAAAAATGAATAATCACAACCTAATTATAATCTATAGAACTCTATACCTGACAATAGAGGAACACATGTTCTTTTCAAGTGCATATGGGAGTATTTCCAAAGTTGCTCATATGCTAGACCATAAAGCAAGTCTAAAACAAATTTCAATAAAGTCAATGAAGACTGTTTTCTGGCCATAGTACTTAATTCATAATCTCAATTGAGATAAAAAATAAACAAAAAGAAGATAACTAGAAAATTTTCAACTGTTTAGAAATTAATCAGTATGTTTCTAAATAATCCATGAGTAAGGGTAGAAAAAAATCTCAACAGAAAGTAAGAAGTATTAAAATTGAATGATAATCAAAACATATCAAAATGGATGGCAGGTGGATAAATCTGTATTTTGAGGAAAATACATAATCTTTTCTTTTCAAATTTATAAATTGTTGTATAAATTCAGTATCACACAATGAATTGACATTTGCTTCTCCAGGTATGAGAACTTAAAAGACAAAACAATATAGCATACATTTATGTTGCTTTCACAGCTAGTTTTTTAGACCATCCAAGTATAGGATAATTAAAACAATATCTCTGTATGTGGTCAGTACACAGTGCATTCCACCTCTGAGAGAAAGTGTTGAAATTTTTTTTCAATACTGATAATCTAGAATTGGGCACCAGTTTTTGGACTTGCCATGATTTAAATCTTGCCAAAGCCGCAGATTCTGCAGCCAATGTCCTTCCATGTACAAAGCTGCCTTCTCATTCTCATCAGTAGAAGCCTAAAATTCATAGTCATAAATCATATATTTAAAAGAAGAAAAACCAAAAACCAATGATTAAGGTATCCATTACTATGTCTTAGGATTTTTAAAAAAAACATCAAAAGAAAACCAAAGAGAGGATAAGAAAATAAATAATAAAGAGCAGAGAAATTAATAAAATTTCAAAGAAATGCATAATAGATACTATTAATAGAACAAAAAAAATCCTTTCTATTTCAATCAGTCTTATTATCCCTAATAAGACTGATTGAAATAGAAGGAAAAGACAAAAATCATTAAAAAGTAGGAGTCTTGATAAAAAGGATACTGCCTCAGATACTAAAAGAAGCACATATACTATCTTAATATAGTTCCATATAGACACAGTGTTATTGTGAAGAAAGTGGGATTATTATCTCAAACCAACATAATCAGTTTGGCAGTTAATGTTTTTGGTGGTAAATTTAGCAAATTGGCATTTCAGTTTGCAAATATGTTTTTCTTTAAAATTTAAAGTGGTCCAACTGTACAATATTAGCTAAACCCTGAGTGAACTAACCAAATTAAATCTTTGTACATGCAAATCAGAAAACCAGACATTGGCTCCAGAGCTGCCCCTGCAGGAGTTTCTAATGAAGTATAATGTATAAGGCAGTAACACTTGTACAGAAAACGGAGAACAGAAACTGGACCAGGAACAAAAGGGCATGAATTGTAGATACATCTACTCATTTAATTTATTTATTTAGCAAATGTTTAGTAAGCATCTATTATGTGTCAGATATCTGTTTGACTTTAGATACATAGTGATGAGCAATTAAATAATGTACCTGTTCCCATGTCCAGTGGAGGATACAGATATCGAACAATTACCAAAATTCATTCAAAAGATATGTACTGAGCATTTGGTATGAGTCAGACATTGTTCTAAGTGCTTGAAATAATGATAAAAAAGCAGACCAAGGACTGTGCTCACGTTGGTTTTATGTTCTAAATGGAGGAGATGGAGAATAAACTTTAGACATACTAAATGTGTGTGTGTGTGTGCATGTGTGTGTGTGTGTATTTTTTAGTACCTGAGATTGAACTCAGGGGAACTCAAACACTGAGCCACATCCCCATCCCTATTTTGTATTTTATTTAGAGACAGGGTCTCAATGAGTTGTTTAGCACCTCGCCATTGCAGAGGCTGGCTTTGAACTTGCTATCCTACTGCCTCAGTGTCCAGAGCCGCTGGGATTACAGGTGTGGGCTGACCTGAAGTATATATCTTATTAGAAGGTGGTAGGTGGTAGGATAAAGAGGAAGAAAAGGCAGGGTAAGGGTTTTCAGTAATGGGGAGGGGTGGGAATGAGAACTGGGATGGATTGTTATTGTTAACAGGATGGTCTCACTGAGAAGTGGACATAGAAGCAAAAACTTACAAAAGTTGGAGGAATTGAGTCTGCAGATATCCAGGGTAAATGTATTCCCATTAGAGAACAGCCGATGTAAAGGTCCTCTAATGGGAGCGTTCTAGAGTGTTCCAGGCATAGCAACAAGGCCAGATTGTCTAAAGCAAGCAGAAAAGCAGGTGTGGGGAGCCAGTCTAAATTACATAGGACCCTGAGGGTCATTGTAAGGACTTTGGCTTTTACTGAGAGAAATGAGGAACCACAGCAGATATCGAACAGAAAGTGATATGGCTTGCTTCATAGTACAACTTGTGATTGTCAATCATAACAGGTGTGTTCAGATATGGGATTACAGGCTGACCTGATTTATACACTAGGTGATCTTGGGCCTAAATAAACTTAACCAGCCTCATTCTGCCTCACTGGGTCATTGTGAGAATCCAATAACTGCTCTACACATATGCAGACATGACTGAATGTGACCCTTTGGTCAAAATATAGAATGACACATACAGAATGACACAATATAGATTGATACATGCTAAGTGTTTTAGCATCAGGCATGCATTTTCAAAAGGAAAAATCTACCTCCCAAAGAAGTGAAACTTTGTTCTTGGGAGGCAAAACAACAATAACAACAACAAAACTTACTTTCCAGGGGCAGGGGTAGATGGGTTGTGATCATGGAAAAATGACTGGGAAACACTAAATTAAAGGAGTGCATAACAGAAAGCTCACCAAAATCAGTTTGAAGTTTAAAAACCACAACTGAGGGCTGAGTTGTGGCTCAGTGGCAGAGTGCTTGCCTTGCACAGGTGAGGCACTGGGTTCGAATCTCAACACCACATGAAAATAAACAAAATAAAGATATCGTGTGCATGTATAACTAAAAAAAAAATTAAAAGAAAGAAAGAAAAAATACCACAGCTGAATTCAGTTCTGCTGTCAGCTCTCTGTGAAATTGAACCAGGTACTTCCCTTTTCTGAGTTCCGTGTTTTTCAAATGGGCAATACAATGTCAGACTGAATGAGCTGTTAGGTTATCTCCAGATCTAAAATCATAAGGAGAATTTATGCTGGGATCATTCAGTTATAAATGTCTAATAATGAAACCAAAGGTAATTTATCAGATATTTTTACCTCTTAAAGCTTCCTTTTCAGTAACATAAAGGGCTAGTGTTGATAGCCATTAAAATATGCCTCTAGCCTCTTTCCCCTTGCCCATCTTTTAATCTGTCTCAAAAGCTAGAATTTTTTAAATGCTGCTCAAGTTCCCTTCAGAGCATTTCTGGATTCAGTACTAGTACCCGAGAATAAATATAAGAGTGTTGCCATTAAGATGCCACCAAATGTTTTGAAGCCTGTCAACCAAAGTAGTAACACTTCTCAATTTTACATGATTTCTAGGCATTAGAGTCCCTTTGCGACCATCTGAGCTGTCACTTCAAAAAGAAAGATGTAGATGGCATGGTGAAGGGAAGCGGGCATTGGCAGAACAGAGAGCACCACATTGAAACCAAAGAGCACGTGCCCTCCGCGCCTGCAGAGGACTGGTCTTTACTACTTATTTCAAACTTGGACAATTGTACTTGCACTAAAAAACCTTACATATTTTTATTGTTTTTGTTTTGGTGGCTGTTAAAGTTTTAGTTTCTCTTCTTGGTCTCCCAACTACATCTAAAATCCCCTAATAACAAAGACTGCATCTTCGACTTCTTTTCTCTAGTTTTCAGTTCAGTATCCTGTACATAAGAGGATCTTTAGTGAATATTTTGTTGACTATGATGACCACACAGATTGAAGAGGGGAAAATAAAAATCAAAGCCATAAACCTTTGAGTGTCATTTGAGTGGTCTGTCCTGATGTGCCCATAGACCAGAGCATTTATCTTCTTTTCCTTCTGCCATTAAAGTACCTAATGGTGTTTCCAGATAAGAAATGTAAATGGAATTCATTATCTAACAGGGACATGTATAACTCAGTCATTGCAGTTTTCCAATTCACAAAGAATTGATTTGTGCAATGGATTTGGCTGGGATAGATGGGTTACCATTGGGGAGAACTATCCATCTCCACCAGATTTCAGGAACTTCTTCAATGTTGTCACTGCTGGGAGGCAACTGGAAGAGGGACATTAGTGACAAATGGCTAAATATTCATAATTTTAGGGTACTCTGGGATGATAATACAATTCAACCTCTGGTTTATCTGGAGAATCTTGGAGATACTGACAATAAGAAAAATCCCAGAGTCTTGTTGACAATATCTTTAGGAGTGAAAGAGTTAACTGAGTGTGTAAACTTCGACTCCTGTCCAGTGGACTTGCGGTTTGCTTATTAAAGCCTCAGGTAAATGATTGTTAGAGACCTGTCATTGAGAGCTGTGGCTGGTTGCTGTGTTTCAAAAGCCCACTGATTCCTCTGCAAGACGGAGCAGCATCTTCTAGCCCTTTCCTCATTTCAGATCTCTCCAGCTCGCCTGCAGAAGGAACTAGCAGATCCACAAACATGAATGATGAAGACTACAGCAACATCTACGACACAATCCAGAAAGACAGGATATATGAGGTTCCAGAAGATAATGCAAGTCCTTTATATGATGCTGTCCAGGAAGATGGCAGACCAGAAAACACCTTGTATGCCGCTGGGCTGCAAAACCACGAATACGATTCTGTGTCAGTCTATGCTGTTAGGGAGGAAGAGAACGGGTTGGGCTCTTCCCAAGCAGAAGTAGAAGACTACCTCCTGCCCGATGAGGTGTGCCCTGAGGTCCAGGATCCTCAACCAGTGGACCTCCAGGAGGATGGGGACATCTCAGTGGAAGAATTCCATTCACCATTCCAGGACCACAGGGGCTGCCCTGAGGAGCCACAGGAAAATGGAAGCAGGATAAAGGAAGACCTGCCTTCTCCTGCAAGCTTCACCATCCAGTGCTGCCAGACCTTCTTCGCCAGCAAGGACTCCCCCATCTCCTATTCTGAAACTGATGATTTGGAAAAAAATCAAACAGTTTCCAAGAACCCTGAGATTTTCCTGTTCGTGAAGGTAAGAGCTGCTCTGGCAGATACTTGCACACATAGGAGACAAGGTGACATCACTGCTGTTTTAGTTTGCTTTGAGTGACAAGGGAGATGTGCGTGTTCCATGCTCCTGGACTCCCCATATATTCTTAAGGATAAGTCTGATTAAACCAGTCATTTCAGAAGGTACCTAGGACTCCCAAAACCACAAGAATTGGAAAGTACATTTTAAATGTATATTTTATTATTGACTTCTATAAACAATTGGCAAAGCACTTTTTAAGAATTTGTACAAGTGAGCATAAATTCCTGCTCAAGTGCATTTGGCTGTCACATTAAATTTCCTTCATCAAAAAGAAACCAAGGCTTGTAGGAGAAAGTCAAATCTACAGTCAGGTGCTAAAGTTTCCTCCTTGCGTTTCTAAGGTCAGGGATACTTCAGATTACATGGTCAATAAATACTATCTCCGTAACAGAACTTGCTCTTTGGCTCCAATATAACTGAAATTCTGATGAAGTAAAATGATTTCAGTGGTATTAAAATGCTAGCTGCATGTTAATATTTAATGCTTATAATACTAAAACTAAAAGTTTGGTGATCTTTGTATTAGACTGCTCATGATCATGAATATTATTATCAAAGTATAAAGTGAAATTCATAGTAAAAAGAATTATCCCTTATTAAACAAGATGGCAACATTTTTTCCAACACTTCCATACATAGAATATTCATCTTTACATGAATTTTTGAATAAGAAGACAAAATTAGTGAATATTGCTCTTTCTTACTAATAAAAATGATTACTACTATGAACCTACAATACACAGTCATTTCTCCCCTTCCTGGTTTCAATAATCTAATGAAATACACTTTTTTTACTAGATGAATAAATTGAATACTTTAATGTATTCTACTTTGTACTTTAACTGTTTTGTGTGTTCTTTATTCTACTGTAAGTGTCTTTTATAAAGTGACCTTTTTGGGTTCCTTTCTCCTCTGACCTCTGTGGAAGGTGCTAGACTCCCACACTGGAAGGGACTCTATGGTTCACCATGTTCCTAGAAGGATTAATGGCTGTGCAGGCTGGGTTTCCTCCATTTGGGTTGCATCTACACCTGTATCTATTTGTATCTGTTCTTACCTGTACTAGCCATGTCAGTGAAAATAGCAGGCAGAAGCTGGGCTCGGTGGCTCACGCCTGTAATGCCAGCGGCTAGAGAGGCTGAGGTAGAAGGATCACAAGTTCAAAGCCAGCCTCAACAACTTAGCGAGGCCCTAAACAACTCAGAGGGACCTTGCCTCAAAATTAAAAAAAAAAAAAAATTAAAAAGGGGCTGGGATGTGACTCAGTAGTAAAGTGCTCCTGGTTCAATCCCAGGTATCACTGAAAAAGATAGAAAGAAAATAGCAGGAAAGCAGGTTTATAACTATATGCTCAACCAATGGTGTGTTGTGTGTGTGTGTGTGTGTGTGTGTATGTGTGTTAGTTACTAGGGATTGAACCCAGGCCCTATGCATGCCAGGTGCAAGCACTATACTACTGAGTTTCATCCCCTGCTTTTTAAAAATTTTATTTTGGATCAAAGTCTCATGAAACTGCCCCTGCTGGCCTTGAACTTATGTCTTAGCTCCCATCAACCAACATGTTTTTGAGGCTTAATCATTTCAGAGTGTTGACCAACTACTAAATTAGTTAAATATATCATTCATTTATTCCTGAAACAGCTATTGTGGCAGGCACTGGTTTTATAACAATGCAGAAAAACAAAGTCCTACCTCCCTTGCACTTTGCACTGTAGTGAGAGAAGAAACTGAGAGACAAAGAAATAAGCAAATAGAGAATGTGGCCAGTGGCAGTCATGTTAGAAAGAAATAGAAACCAGGATATGAGGGCATTCACTTGTTACTGGTGCTGTAACAATTGAGCAAAAGCTTAGTGACTTCAAAATATCACAAATGTTCTCTTCTATCTCTGGAGGTCACAAACCTGGATCAAGTGAATGGGCTAAAATCAAGGCTGCGGCAGGCTGTGTTCCTGCTGTTGGCTCAAGGGGAGCATTCCTTCTCTTTGCCATTTCTGGAAGCTGACTGCATGGCCCATGTCAATCATCGCCTTGCCTTCCTCTGATGTGACTCCTCCTGTATCTGTTTTATGGACTGATATGATTAGATTATCCCACTTGGGTAATTCAGGGTGATCTCCCCATTTTAAGATCTTTGATTCATTCACATCTGCAAGTGCTTTCTACCATGTTTAACATTCACAGCTTCTAAGGATGAGGGCATGGACATATTAGGAGCCATTTTTCAACCTAGCAGGGAAGGCCAGGCAGGCAATGTTTCCCAGACACTATTGAATGAGATGAGCCCAGAACCTTCTCTTAGGTTATTTGCATGGTTCACAATTCAAAAAGCACAAAAGGGTCACTCTGGAACCATACTCCCTCAGACATCCCATTTCTACCTCCTGAGGCAAGCCGTTCTAAACATTTCCATTGAACATGCTTCCCCAAGTTTTCTGTGCACTTTTCTGGCAATTATGGGTCTAAGTTTATAAATTTGAAATTCTCTTTTTGTTTTCCTTTTATTTAATACAGAAGTTATTACACCACATACTCTATCATGCACCTTGCTTTGAGGGGGGGTCTCATTTATTGCAATGGAATCCAGACACTTTAAAATTCACAACATAAGTGTACACTTCTATGAACTTTGACAAAGGCGTTCAGTCTTGTAACCGTGACATAGAACTTTTCTATCACAACAGGAAAAAACTCCCTCCAGGCCTCTTCTTTCTATCTCTATAGTTTTGTCTTTTCAAAAATATCATACAAATGGAATTCAATTCTATGTAGTCTTTGGATATGGTTTCTTTCATAATTTTTTCCATGAATCATCCATGTTGAGATATATATCTATATATATATATATATATATATCAGTTGTTGGTTCCTTTCTATTTCTGAATAGTACTCAATCACACGTATCTACCATAATTTGTTTATGCATTTGGCAGCTGATGTGCACTTGGATTCTCCCCAGCTTTTGACTATTAATAAGGAGGCTTCAATAAACGTATGAGTTTTGTATTGATTATGTTTTCATTTCTCTTGGGTAAGTGCTTAAGAGTAGAATTATTAAGTTACATGGTCAGTGAAACTTATTTTAAAAATTTTTTCAGATTGTTTCAAAGTAGTTGCCAAAATTAGCATGAGACTTCTAGTTGTGTTCTTTCCAGTCCTTGGCCTTACCAGTCTCTTAAATTGTGGGCATAGTGGTATATGTATGACAGTATTTTACTTCAGTTTTAGTATTCATTTTTCTAGTTACTAATGATGCTGAGCATCTTTTTGTACATTTATTACCCATTCTTATGTCTTCTTTGGTGAAGTATCTATTCAGATATTTTGCTTATTATTATTATTATTATTATCCTTTAAGTATTTTGTCTCCTTACTACTAAATTATAAAAGTTCTTTATATATTCAATATATAATTTCTTTCTCAGATAAATTTTTTGAAAGTAGTTTAAAAGTTTGTGGCTTGATTTTTATTTTTATAACAGTATCTTTTGAAGAGCAGAGTTTTTCTCATTTTTATTTTAAGACAGTCCATTGTCTTAGTTTGCTTTGTGAACCTACAAAAATGATTACTATAACAGATTACCTGATTCTGGGTAATTTACGAAGAAAAAATGTTTTTGGCTCATGATTCTGCTGGCTGGAAAGTCCAAAGAGCATGGTGTGCCATCTAGTTGTCAGAATATGGTGGAGAAGTGGAGAGGAAACAAACTATGTCCAGAAGGGACACCTGTGTGAGCAAGGAAGCAACACAGTCCCATGAGAACTACATTAATTCCTCCTAAGTGCAATTCCTTTGTGATCTAATCATGTCTTCAAGGGACTACTACCACCTCAATGCCAGTGCACTGGGGACCAAGCCTCCACCACATAAGTCTTTGAGGGACACACCCAAACCATATCCAAACCATAGCATCTATTTATCAATTTTTTCCATAGTTTGTGCTTTTTGTGTCCTAAGAAATGTTTGTCTAACCCAGAGTCATGAAGTGTGTGTGTGTGTGTGTGTGTGTGTGTGTGTGTGTGTGTTTCCAGTACTGGGGATCAAACCCAGAATCTCACATATGCTAGGTAGGCACTCCACACTGAGCCACACCCCACTCCAAAATTTTTTTCCTGTTTTTATCTAAAAATTTTATAACTTCAGTTCTCTGATCTATCTCACATTCATTATTCATATTGTCCAAATTATGGTTTGTTTCCTTTCCTTTTTTTCTTCCTTCTTCCCTTCCCTCCCCCTTTCTTGTATCCTTCCTTTCTTTGAATGCTAAATATATCGATTGATTTTCAAATAGTAAGCCACCCTTTCATTTCTGCACACCTGTAATCCCAGTGACTCTGGTTGCTGAGGCAGTAGGAACATGATTTGTTATTTTATATATTTCTAGATTTGAGTTGATATGGTTTTGTGAAAAGATTTTTGCACAGGTGTTCATGATGTGTATTATTCTGTGCATTTATTTTAATTTATTTGCTTTTGGTTCTAGGATAATGCTCACCTCATAAAATGAGCTGGGCATGTCTTTCCTTTTCTGTTTTCTGAAAGAGTGTTTTGTGAAATTGGTATTCTGTCTTTTTATTTATTTATTTATTTATTTATTCTAATACATGACAGCAGAATGCATTTTGATTCATAGGACACAAATGGAGCCCAATTTTTCATGTCTCTGGTTGTACACCAAGTAGAGTCACACCATTTGTGTCTTCATACATGTACCTAGGGTCATGATGTCTTAGGAGCTTGATAGAATTCAGCAGTGAAACCATCCTTACTAGAGATTTCTTGGTGTAAAGAGTTATTTCCCCCCTTGCAAATTCACTGTATGTGATAGAGTCAGGGTTATTCTGTTCTCCTCCTCCTCCTCCTCCTCCTCCTCCTCCTCCTCCTCCTCCTCCTCTTTTTTCTTCTTCTTCTTCTAATCAGTGAGTTTCTTAATTTGTCCT